AGCCTGGAGTGGAGCATGTCCTTTGGACCTGGGATCCCTGTGCTGAGAACCTCCTAGACCCAGGAAAGAGAGAGATGTAACACTGAAGACAGCATGAGATGGTAACAAATGGTGGCAACCAAAGCAGAGCCCAGTGGCAGAGAAATGGCGGCAACAGTATAAGCAGCAAAAACCATGGGGGACCAGCAGACTGCTACGGAGGTGCTTGCCAAGCCCATGGAGCAAGGTAGCTGTGACGGGCTTGTGGGCCCACAGAGTGAGAGAGAGCTGAGCGTCTTTGGGCAGGAGGCTTGCTGGGGGTTGCTTGGGGTACTTGTCAGTGGAGCTAAAAGCTGTAGCACTTATCAAGTGGGGCAGAAGCCTAGAGAAGGCCCACAGACTGGCAAGGCCAAGAGAAGGGCTGCCAGCTTGTTGGCTGGCACGCTGAGAGAAAGGCCTGTCTGCGTGTATGGCCAAGAAGGAGCTGTGAACCATCCTGGTTGGAAACTGACCGGATGGATGAACTGTATCCTGTCTCCTGATTTGTATCCTGTTCCTTCCAAGTTAAGTCTGTTACTTCATTAATAAACCACAGAATCATGAGTATGGTCTGTGAATGCTGTGTGGCCATTGCAACAAATTATCTAACCCAGCAGAGAAGAGAGAGTGCTGTTGAGGGGGCGGAGGGGCGGCTGGTGTCAGAAATGGTGAAAAAGTTGGAGAGTGGAGGTATGTCTGATCTCCACTTCGTAGGAACCAACTTTGGGCTGATCCTGATTCTCATCCCTCCTGGTGGATGTAGATGAGGTCTGACGGTAGCACATTACATTCCCTTAGAGCCAGAACCCTGCTGTGCTTAGGAGCTACAGATGCTAACCAAAAAGTCGGCAGTTCGAATCCACCAGCCGCTCCCTGGAAACCCTATGGGGCAGTTCTACTCTGTCCAGTCGGATCGCTATGAGTTGGAGTTGATTCGACAGCAGTGGGTTTGGTTGGCTGGTTGGTTTTTAGATAACTAAGACAGACACTTCAAAATATGAAGACTTAAATAAAAAATAAGTTACTTTCTTTCTCAAATACCACTCCAGAGGTGAATGATCCGGGCCAGCAGAGAGTCATCCAGGGACCAGGCACTTTCTATCTCGAGGTTTAGCTGTTCTGTAGAATTATTTTGAAGCAAATCCCAGTCATCATCTTGTTTCACTTCATGATGGGTTTTGAATGGTTCAGACAACGGAGTCCGGAGCTAGACTGCCTAAGTTTGATCTAGGCTAGGCTACTTACTAGCTGTGTGACCTTGGGTAAGTTGCATTACTTCTCTGTGCTTCAGATGAGGAAAATGGTGATAACTGTACCCACTTCATAGGGCCGATATGTGGATTAAATGAGGTGATACGTGTAAAGCACTCAGCACAGGGTCTGGCACGTAGGAAGCACCATTTACATATTAGCTGTGATGTTGAGGAGGAGGATGACAACGACGCCACCCCAGCCCGCAGACCCATTGCACGCGGCGCTCGCTGATGACTGTATGAGCACCGGCCACTAGGGGGGGCGGCCGGCTTGGGATGCGCTGGCATGCAGTGACCGTCAGAAGGCGCTGTAGCGCTTGTCCCGCGAGAGCCGTGACCACCTGGACTATTTCTCTCTGGACATTCCAGAGGAGAACACGTCGGCCTCGGCTGGTGCCAAGGGCCCCAGCGTTGAGGCTGGGGATTAACGCAAGGTACGCTTGCAGAATGAGTACTAAGAATCAGCAGGAAGAGAGAAGATGTGGACGGATTTTCAGAAGACAGCTCCCACTCCACCCCCAAAATGCTGGAATTCCACCTCCAAGTTTCCCAGCGCTGTTGAATACCTTCCCTGATATTCTCTGAGTCTGAGTCAGGTGCCTCCTCTGGAGCACAGCTTCTGATTTTCCCCATCCCCAGCCCTGCCGGCTCTGCCTATACCCCATCCCGGCCCCCACCCCTCTGCATGCGCCTCCCCCGTCCCAGGCGACCCCCCTTCCCAGCACAGGTTGTCACTGTCTGGCGGTGTGTGTTTGCTCCCACTAGAGCTCCATAAGGCAGGAGCCAGGGACAAAAATGTCACCAGCATTGCCCAACAAATTCTGGCACAAAAAAGAAAAAAAACACACACACGTTTAATAAATATTTGCCTTTCTTACCTTTAGGCGTTTCCAGGTGATGATCCTTCCACCTGAAACACTCTTCTCCACCGCTGCATCTGGCTCATTTCCCTACATCGTTCAGATCTCAGCTTAGATATCTCCTCCTCCAGGGAGCCCTCCCTAACTCCCACCCCCAAGGCTGGGCTAAATTTGTGTCCACACCACTTACTTATTACAAAGCAGGTATTACAGAAAATGTTTGATGAATGAATGAATAAGAGGGACAGTATTTGAGTCAGGTTCCCTGTATCAGCTGGAAGATCACTTTCTGACCCTCTCTGTGGAACTCTGAACCCCTCTTGGTCTGACACCCCCTCCCCACTGGGGCCGCTGTGCTAGGTGTTTCTCACTGTCCTGTCGAAGGGGGTGGAATCTGGCCCCTTCCCGGGATGGAGAAAGGGGACAGAACAAGACCTGGCTGTCTGCCTTCACCCTCAGCCTCTCCTGGGAAGCCCAGGCTTATGATAATTCTTACTGAGCGCTTGCTACGTGGTAGATGCCGTTCTAAACTTTTGACATATGTATCAATTCATTTAACCCCACCAACAATCCCTGCACCAGGGGCCCTTGGGAATGTGACCCCTCCTGAAGCTCTGGAGGTGGGGGGTCAGGTTAGAAAGAGCCCCCATGCCCCATTCATGCAAACTTGAACTGTACTTGGAAGAATAAAACTGGAGGCTCTTGGGCCAGATATGACTATACACACACACACACACACACACACACACACACACACACACACAAACGTTGCCTTACAGTCAGTCCAACTCATGGAGACCCCATGTGTTACAGAGTGGAATTGCTCCATAGGGTTGTCTTGGCTGTAATCTTTACGGAAGCAGATTGCCAGGCCTTTCTTCCAAGATGCCGCTAGGTGGGTTCAAACCACTAACCTTTAGGTTAGTAGTGGAGTGCAAACAATTTGTGCCACCCAGAGACTTGATGTGACCCTCAAGGTGGTTTAAAAATATATATTATTATTTAATAAGATATTAAATCGCTCCTGGTCCATCCTAACCCTTAGGCAGAATGTCACTTGCCATGCATCTTCACCTTTGTGCTTTGATTTTCTTAACCTGCATCTGCTTCCGGCTCACATCACTTACCTGGCCCCTGAAGCATTTGAGTTTGAGACCCTGGGAGACATGAACTAAGTGGGGTGAAGAATGACTTCGGTACAGACTTTTGTTTTCACCATGCCCATTTCCATGGGCCCCTCACCTCCTGACCCTCCCCCTGTACCCTGAGTTCATGGCGTTCAAGGTCAAGGCTATTCCGCTGTGTTGGAGGGAGGGGGAGTCTGGACTCCACACACAGCCAGGAAGTAGGCTGGGGGGAGGGGTGTCCGTGCATCACACACACAGTTCACTCCTGCCTCCACACGTGTCCTTGCACAGGCCACCCACCAGGACTGATCTCCCCCTACTCTGTCCGCAGCCCAATCCCAGCTGGAGGCTCAGGTCCGGGTTCACCCCTCCAGGGACTCCTGCCGTCATGCCCTCCCCTCTGCCCTGCTTGTCCCAGAAGGTTTATGACTTCAGAGTAGGGGAAATGTGGGGTTGGAGGTTCTAGTCCACCAAGAGGTGCCTCGGAAGAAAGGCCTGGTGATCAACTTCCAAAAAATCGGCCATTGAAAACCTTATGGAGCACAGATCTCCTCCTACACACATAGGGTCGCCATGAGTCGGATTCCACTACAATTGTTTTTTTTTTTTCTCCAGCTGAGAAAGGAGGGAGCACCCCTGAGCAAAGTTTGAGGCTGCCTCATTCCCCCTTCCTGGGGCGCTACAAGAGGCTCCCCGGGGATTGATTGGATAGGTCGGTAACATTAAAAACCCAGAGGCAAGATCTCTCGCGAGATTATAGACATGATGAAACAGACAGGAAAAGAGAAAGACGCAGAAAGAGACGCAGAGAAAGCAGCAGAAAGAGAAGCAGAAACACAGAGACCGATATAAACTAAGTGAGAGAGACACTGGGATTAAGAGACAGACATGGCGTCTGAATGGGGGAGGGGATGTAGTTTTGTAGCTCAAAGAACAGTCTCTGCAGTCACTTTGAGAAACGGACAGGCAGACAAATAGAGGCAAAAGGTACAAAATAGGTGTTTTTTAATGGAAATTTTTATAAAAAAGGAGAGGGTATGTGAAGGGAACTGTGGGCTGGGCTTGGGCCAGCAGCGTCGGTGCAAGGGGCTAGGAGCGGCGGCGGGCAACGAGAGGCGTCCCTCCTTCCATCAGTCTGTCTCTCTCTGTTTGAGCTGGCGTCCCTGTGCGCATGCGCGTAAGCGCGTGGGCGCGTGTGCGCTGCGGAGACCCGCGTATGCAGCACAGGGTGAGCGATCCCGGGTGCTGGGGCTCAGGCCCGGGGCCGGGCGGGCGTGCAGTGGTGCGGCTGGTGCGAGGGTGCGAATCCTGGGCGGCAGAGGCAGCGGAAGGAGCCATCGGTGTTGATGCAGCGTGCGTTGACGCAGAGCGGGGCGGTCTCCTCAGCCTCGTCACATTCATTGATGTCTGGGAGGGGGCACAAGGGGCGCCGTTCAGGGCTGGGGACCTGGGAAGACGCCTCCCTGGCCCTTTAGGCCCCTGGGGCGTACGAGTACGGATGCTGAACCTCCTGCTGCGTGGAATCTGGTCTCTCCACCTGTTGGCTGTGTGAGCCTGGGCAGGAGGCTTACCCTCTCTGTGCCTCAGCTTCGTGCTTTGTAGGATGGGCATGGTAGCCTCTACTTACTAGTTTTTGTTAGGAAAATAATGCCGATGAAGATGCCAGTAATATCAGCAACAATAAATGCTTACTGTCTGTCAGGCATTTTTGTAAGCACATTACGTGTATTAGCGTTATTCTCCTAATTAACCTGTGAAAAAAAGCCAAACCTAAACCCACTGCCGTCCAGTCGATTCCCACTCATAGTGACCCAATAGGACAGAGGAGAACTGCCCCACCATGGGGTTTCCACCGCTGTAAATCTTTATGGAAGCAAACTGCCATATCTTTCTCCCTGGAGTGGGTTGGTGGGTTGAAACCACCAACCTTTTGGTTGGCAGCCGAGCACTTTAACCACTGTGCCACCAGGGCTCCTACAAACTTGTGAGGTAGGTACTATTATCCCATTTTACAGGAGCACAAACTGAGGCCCAACATGGGAAAGCCCCTTGCCCAAGGTCACACAGCAGGCCAGCTCTCCAGCTCAGGGTGCCCAGCCCCATGTCTGACTTCAGGTCAAGCCAGCCATTTCTTGGCTGTGAGACCTTGGGGAATTCAATTCTCCTTTCTGAGCCTCAGTTTACACATAGGCCTCAGTGTTATCTTAAATCCGTATTAACAATGTTCACAACAGTTCTATGAAGCATCTTCTATGACTACATCTTTCAGACGAGGAAAACTAAGCAAGGGACAGTGACCTGTCCAGAGTTACAGAGTTAGCAAGTCGCTGGGCTGAGCCTCAGGCCTGTCTGACTCCCTCAGAGTCCTTCATTGTAACCACTCTGCTTTACTGCTAAAATAGGCAGACATGATTAATATTCCCATTTTACAGAGAGGAAGCCTGAGGCTTTCCAAAGAGATCGAACAAATTGCCCAAGACAGCATGGCGAGTCCTTGGAAATCACATCTGCAGGATTTTACCCTTCTATCCGGTTTCGGAGGAAACCCTGGTGGCGTAGTGGTTAAGAGCTTGGCTGCTAACCAAAAGGTCGACAGTTGGAATCCACCAGGCGCTCCTTGGAAACCCTATGGGGCAGCTCTACTCTGTCCTATAGGGTCGCTCTGAGTCGGAATTGACTCGACGGCAATGGGTTACTCTGTTTCAGAAACTCTGGTGGTGCAGGAGTTAAGAGCTACGGCTGCTCATCAGGTCAGCCGTTCGAATCCATCAGCTGCTCCCTGGAAACCCTATGGGGCAGTTCTACTCTGTTCTCTAGGGTCGCTATGAGTCGGAATCGACTCGACAGCAATGGGTTTGGTTTATCCTGTTTCAGGGCCAAGCACTGCCCTGCGTGCACCCTGACCTCACTTTCTTCAGTCAAACCCCGTCCCCCCTGCCTGGCCTGCACCCTTTAGTGAGGTCTTTTCCGGAAGTCCCTGACCAGCAGCCTCTAGTCAGGGCTCCACCCCTTCCAGTCCGGCCTCGCCTCTCCCCGCGCACGCTAGCCCCAGGCCTGTCTCTCACCAACGCAGGCCATACGGGTCGTGTCCAGGCGGTAGCCGTCGAAGCAGTCGCAGGTAAAGCCCTCGGGGACGCGCACGCAGCGGCCGTGCGCGCAGCCGTCCAGGATCCCGCACTCCTCCGCCTCCAGACCTTCATACCGCCCAGCTGGGGCGCCTGCGGAGAACGCAGGGCCTCCATGGCTCAGGATCCCCGCCTTCTCGCCCCTTATCCCCTCACAGTGGGGCTCCCTGGCTGTCTCATCTAAACCGGTCATCATGCCCCAGGGCTGTGGGGGGAGCTGGGGGGCAGGGGGGTTATCTCGCTCTGCGCCTGGCTTTCCCCGTCTCTTTCTGTGGCTCCATGTCTCTCGACTTCCCGCCTCCCCGTTTCTTATGAGTCTGTGGCTTCTCTCTGGCTGATCCCTCTCTGTCTCCCCGCTGCATCCCTCTCTCCTTGTCCCTGGGTCTCCCCGTCTCTGTCTCTCTACCTTTTTCCATTTTGTCTCATTTCCTTTCTCCCCCGCTCTCTTTCGCCATGTCTGTCCCCATCTGTCTCCCAGTTTCTCTCTGCCTCTGCGTCTTAGCGCCTGCTCTCCGTGGCATCTCTCTCTTCCCATAAATGTATCTCCCTGTCCCAGATCTCTCCCTGTTGGTCTCTCGCTCTGACTGTTTTCCCCCGTCTGTCCCCATCCCTTTCTTTGATGGTCCGTAGAGATATTTTTCTGTTCCTCGTCATGGCTCCTATCCGCCCCTTCCCTCTGTACCTGCGTGTTCCCGTTTCCCTGACCCTTTCTCCAGGCTTCTCTTGCGCGCTGTTTCTCCCTCCCCCGCCCTCAGTCTCCCTCACTCTGCCCACAGCGCTCACCATTATAGCCTCCACCTTCAGGCAACTCCTCGGGCTCCGAGAAGGAGCCACGGGTATCACGGGGCCGATAGCGCCAGCGGGTGCCCGGGCTGGGTGGGGCAGGAGCCTCAGATTCACCATAGGGGCCACCGTCGTCCTCAAAGTCGGGCATGTCGAAGGGTGGTGCCCCGTAAGGAGCCTCCCGGCGGGCGAAGGGCCCAGGTGGTGGTGGGTAGGCGTCATAGGGTAGCACTGGCGCTGGGTACAACTCGGGCCCATACGGAAGGCCCTGGTAAGGCGGACCTAGGTCTGGGCCATACTCATAGGGAAGTCCAAAGCCGCCTGGCCGCGGGGGACCATACGCAGGGGGCCGCAGCACATTGCACAGGGCCTCAAAGTCATCTGTAAGCAGGAGCCAAGCCAGACGATGAGCCTCACTTGTCCCAGCACCTACCATTCCTGTCCCCACCCCAGGAAGAGGAGCCCAGAGGGGCTGGGGAAGGGCTTTGGGCTCGGGCATGGGATGTGAGGGGCTTGAAAGGAGGGGGCGGGATTGGAGGAGGGTCCAGATCAGGGGTTTCTGGAGCCAAGATTGAAGGTGAGGGCTGGGCTTGGGATTCCAAGGTGCTAGGATTTGAGGGACCCAGGGGAGCAAGGACTAGAAGCCTGAAGAAATGGAATGGGGTGTTTCATGGACCGGGACTGGAGTATCCAGGGGCTGTTATTGGGGGCCTAAAGGGCCAGAGCATGGGGGACAGGGCCTGAGTAATTGGGACATGGAGATCTGAGGACCCAGGATTAGGGTATTTGGGTCTGGGGCTGTGTTCCCAAGGGCTAAGGATTGGGGTCTCTGGGGCTGGAACTCAGGGGTTTTAAGGGCCAAGACTTGGGGATCTCTGGGGCTATGTGATGGGTCATGGGCACCAGGATGTGGGTGTCCATGGGGCTGGGACTTGGAGGTCTGTGGTCTGTAGGGCCAGGACAGCAGGATCAGAGCAACTGGTATTTGAAGTCTAAAATCCAGGACTTGGGGAGGGCAGCTCATGGGCTGTGTCTTGGGGTTGTAGAAACCAAGAGTTGAGGGTCTGGGAGACCAGACCATGGGGACCTGTGGGGCTGAAACTATGGGGCCTGCTGAGCCAGGCCTTGGAGCTTCTGTGGCTGAGACTTGGAGGTCTTTGAGATGTGCCTTGGGGTCTAAGTGACCAACATTTAGGGATGGGCTTGGACATAGAGGTTAGAGGGGTCAAGTTTGGGGGAGACTGGGGGGTCCTCATCAGGACCTGGACTTGAAACCCTAGGTGCAGAGCCCCTGTGCCCAGGCAGTGGCCATACCTGAGTCCTGGGCGGGGCAGAGGGCGCAGTCCATGCCCCAGGCCTCGCCGTACAGGCAGCAGCACTCAGTGTAGGTGGCCTGGCGGTCCAGCCGTGGGCGGCTGCATACGAGGTCGGCCCCCACTTCCTGCCAGCACACGCCCAGATTGTCCTCTGGAGGCAGAGACAGCATGCATTAGGGTCGGGGGAGGGGAGGCTGGGGTCAGAGGTTTTAGGGGGCCCTCCCTGCTGCCCAGACCCCTCTGCTGCTGGAGTGGCCCAGCCACCCTCTGCCCAGCACCAAAGTCTCTCATCAGCTGAGATCTGACTCCCAGAAGCCCTCTGAGGTAGCCCCAGGGTTCTGAACAGAATACCAGATGGAGTATAGGCTTGGTCTGGCATGAGGCTGGCATACAGGAGGAGAGGACAGAAGAGGGGCCCAGTGGCTGGGACATAGGGCCTGATAGGGTTCTATCCATGCCCAGCCTAGAGAGGGCTGTGTGACCTCGGGGTAGTTGCTTTTCCCCTCTGGGCATTGTTTGAATGAAGCCTCAGGGTGTAGGGAGATGTTGTAGAAACAGGAAGTGGGAGGAGGTGGGAGTTTGGGTCAGTGGCCAGAGAGAGAGATGGAAACACACAGAGACACAGACCCAGAGAGACCCAGAGGGAGAGAGTCAGAGAGACAAACCGAGAGAAAGGAAGGACCCAAAGAAATAGAGAGAAAGACATCCAAAGAGTCAGAGACTCAAAGAAAAACGGACAGAGGGATGACGAGAAACCGAGACTAAGGGCTAAATGAGTGCTAAACCAAAAAATCCCACTGCGGCAGAGTCGAATTCCAACTCACGGTGACTCTATAGGACAGAGTAGAACTGCCCCATAGGGTTTCCAAAGGCTATAAATCTTTAAGGAAGCAGACTGCCACATCTTTCTCCCCTGGAGCGGTTGAGGGGTTCAAACTACCGACCTTTCGGTTAGCAGCTGAGCGTTTAACCATTGTGCCACCAGGGCTCCTTAAATAAGTGCTGCTTGTTATGTCATTTTATTTAGATCCACAATCAACACCAATGGAAGCAGCAGTCAGGAAATCAAACGATGCATTGCATTGGGCAGATCTGCTGCAAAAGACCTCTTTTAAAGTGTTAAAAAGTAAAGGTGTCACTTTAAGGACTAAGGTGCAAGTGACCCAAGCCACGTGTTTTCAATTGCCTCATATGCATGTGAAAGCTGGACAATGAATAAGGAAGACTGAAGAAGAATTGATGCCTTTGAATTGTGGTGTTGGCAAAGAATACTGAATGTACCAGGGACTGCCAGAAGAATGAACAAATTTGTCTTGGAAGAAGTACAGCCAGAATGCTCCTTGGAAGCAAGGACGGCAAGACTTCGTCTCACATACTTTGGACATGTTATCAGGAGGCACCAGTCCCTGGAGAAGGACATCATGCTTGGTAAAGTAGAGTATCCGCAAAAAAGAGGAAGACCCTCAATGAGATAGATTGACAGTGTCTGCAACAATGGGCTCAAGCACAGCAACGATTGTGAGGATGGCGCAGGACCGGGCAACGTTTCGTTCTGTTGCACACGGGGTCGCTATGAGTCGGAACCGACTTGACAGCACCTCACAACAACCACCTGTTATTATTTCTATGTCTCTCTCTCTCCAGAGACAAGGACACAGAGACAAAGATCCAGAGAAAGTCAGGAATTCAGAGAAAAACCTAAAGGCAGAAACCCACGGAGAGGTGAAGAGAAACAGAGACCCAGAGACACAGAAATAACAGGAAGCACTTATTTCGCACTTAGTAAGACCACTCCCGTTCTAAGTCCTTAAAAATAAAATTCCTTATAGCCAGCTTACAATGTAGGGGCTACTGTGACCACTCAATGTGCAGAAAGGAAGCTGGCGGACACAGGGGAATAAGCAAAGTACACGTGCTCACTTGGCCAGTAAGTGGCAGGCTGCCTCTAAAACCTTGCCTTTACTGAAACCATCGCCTTTAACCTCCCGGCCATCTTGCCTCTCAGAATCAGACTCAAGACAGAGCCCTCGTGGGGCCCGAGGGGCGTGGCCGTTGGGAAGGCGTGGCCTGGCAGGAGAATGAGCCAAGGGAGTGAGAGACAGACGGCATGGGCGGGACCAGGGCGGGGCGTAACCAGTTGGGCGGGGCGAGAATGTGCTTAGCGGGCGGGGTTACCGAGGCTCTGGCTCTCGTTGGAGACGCAGCGGCGTCGCGAGCGGTCGAGCACCAGTGGAGGCTCGCACGTGCAGTGATAAGAACCCACGGTGTTGACGCAGCGGCCGCCCTCACAAGCCGGCTCCTCGTCTGCGCACTCATCGTTGTCTAGGGAGACAGGGAGGGGGGCCGTGAAGAGGCAGCCCCCTCAATACCCCTCTACCCTTTCCTGTCTCTCTCTCCCCAGGGCACTGGCTGGAGCGTCTGGACTCCTGGAAGGACTTCCCACGGGTAATGGCAACATTCCAGAGAGGGGCTGAAGTGGCCGGGCTTGGCTCCTACCAACGCATTCCAGCCGCTGGGCATGGTAGTAGTAGCCGTTGCTGCAGTAACATGAGTAGCCCGGGGCCGTGTTCACGCACACGCCGCTCTTGCACACCTGGTCTTGGAAAAGCTGGCACTCGTCCACGTCTGCGGGAAGGGTGGTCAGAGGCACGCCCCCAGCAAAAGAGATGGGGGCGGGGCAGGGTGTGAGGCAGGCCATGACCAGGCAGGAGAGGGACAGAGAGATGGGGACAGACAGAGGAGAGGGGGTGAAGAGATACAGAGAAACAGGTGAGAGACAGAGATAAAGAAAACAGACAGGATGAGGCAGAGGAGACCCCAGCTGGGCCTGGGGGCTGAGGGTGGGTGAAAGCTGAAGTCTGGCCTCACCTCTCCGGAGGGCCGGGTCTCCACTGGGCGCCAGGTAGCCCCGGCCATGGGGGCACAATGACTGGTACTCAGCTGCACAAAGAGACAAAGCTGAGCTCAGACACCTGTGTCCCAGCCCCTGCCCTGGGCCTGCCCATGCCCACCTGTCTTAGTGCTTCCGCTTGCTCTGTGCCTACCCTTCACTCCTCAAGCCCCCAGGCCCGTGCCTGTGTGCGCCCACCTCTCAGCCTCATGCCCGTCCATGCCCACCTGCCTGGCAGCTCACCCTTGCCCTTGCAGTACCCATGTCCAAATATGCCTCCTGTCCCAGCCCCATGCCCACCTATCTCTACTCAGCCCCTCAGTCCTGTGTCCTCCCATCGACCCGTGCCCACCTGTCTCGGTGCTTGGGCACTGCTGGATGCGGCAGCCACTGCCCCAGCCCTCGCCCACAGTACAGCAGCACTCCTGCCACGTCACGTTCCACGCCAGGATGTTGTCACATGCATCTGGGGCCCCTGTGTCGAAGTAGCACTCCCGGCGCCCGTTGCCCACAGAACCCTGCCGTGGCACACTGGGCCGGCGGGGTGGGGGTGGCGGGGGTGGCCTGGCCGGCAGACCCGGGCTGGAGGGCACCTGGAGCTGTGAGCCGGGGAACATGCCTGGGGAGAAAAGGGTCCTTAGCCCAGTGTGGGCTGACTCCCCCCAGCCCGGTCCCTCATATTATGGATGGGGAAACTGAGGCCCGGAGGGCACCCAGCTATCAATGGCAGAACCCTGCTCAGGATCCCACATCTCCCTCCTGACTCCACACCTCTCACCATCTGTCACTGTCCCTCTTCCTCCCACTCTCGCTCCTGGTTATTTCTGCATCTCTTGCCTCCCCACCTCCCACCCTCCCAGGCGTCTCTCTCATCCATCATTGCAGCTTCAGTTCCAGGGCCGGGGGGAACCCCTGCCTCCTGGGTGCCTCTCTGGGTGTTCCTTGGGTCTTCACCTCCAACTGTCTCAAACTGGCCTCAGAATCTTCACCCCAAAACCCAGGCCTCATCCTGGACATGTCTCCCTACCCTGACAGCCCCCCAGCCTGTCCATCTGGCCTCTTGGGCCTTTCTCCCACCCACCATCTCCTCCCTTCCCCTCGGCCCCCACCTTGGTCCAGCCCTGTCCTCTTGCCCAGGTCTCTGCCCCAGCCTCCTCCTTAGGCTCCCAGCCCCCAGTGTCACCCCTCCAATCCACCTTCACATGGCAGTCAGAGGAAGGTTTCAAAGTCAGATTACACTCCTCAGCACCCTCAGGCAAAGGCCAATCTCCAGGCCATGATAAGTTCCCGTGAGTTCTGGTTAACCCCTGCCTCCTTCTCCAGCTCCATCTCTCCCCCCTCCCTCCCTTGCTCTGGAAACATGTGATACTGAACTTATTTGTCAGGTGGCCTCTTGCCTTGCCAGGCCTTTGCCCTTGCTGTGTCCTCTGCCCAGAATGCCCTCCTTCACCCACTGGCCTGACTCACACCTACTCATCCTACTGCTCTTAATTCAGACACCCCTTCCTACAGGAAGCCCTCCATAATCCTCCTCTCAGGCTGGGGCAGGCATCTCCCCTGGATTCCCAACCCCCCTGGGTTTTCCCCATCACAGCTGTGTTCCCTCTGGTCTGGTTGCACCGGGCTGCCACTGTCTAGTAATCTCTCTGTCTGCCTGACTGGGTCATGGGCCCTTTGAGGAGAAGCAACGGTCTTTCGTGGTCACTACTCTGTCCCCTGAACGCAGTGGATTTCATGTGAACATTTGTTACATGGAGAAATGTGGTAGAGCCAGGGCTAGGATCTAGTTCTGATACTGAATCCCGCTACCCATGTTAAGCCATGTGTTCTAAAAAAAAAAAGAAATGTTTTTTTAATCGTTAAGCATAACATTTAACTGATGGCAGCTGTCCACACCCAGGATCGTTAAACCACATCATTTTCCTAGAGGGCCAGTAGCCATCAATTAAATAGACATTGACATCAGTCTCACCAGCAGAAGCCTGTGGGGAAACACAGCGTCCAGTCATGGGGTCAAACTCCTCAGGGCTGGTGGGGCAGACACAGAGGAAGGAGCCTTCAACATTCTCACACAGGGCAGCTCCACACACGCCCTGCAGTGTTTCACACTCATTCAGATCTGTGAGCAGGAAACAACGGGGAGAGGGAATCAGTGGTACCGAACTTCTGTGATTCCAAAGATCTCGGAATCTGAGCTTTCAAATATAATGGGTATTTCTAACGGCCAAATTCCATCCTCTTTTCTCTGGTATACACCCTGAATTTCCCTTGGGACCCTCTGCTCCTCCATTTTCAAAGCATGCGTTTTGATTAGGACTCAGTCTACTCCCGGGGTGGGCACAAGCCCTAGGCATGGCCAATCAGATTACTGCATTTCTCTGGTTCAAAGATACACAGTGACAAAGCTGGGCCAATCAAAGCCAGACCTGAGACTTTTGCTGGAAATATTGAAAAAGAGGCTCCCTTGTTAGCCCTAGGAGCCCTGGTGGTGCAGTGGTTAGGTGCTCAGCTGTTAACCAAAAGGTTGACGGTTCAAACCCACCAGTCACTCCACAGGAAAAAGATGTGACAAGTCCGCTTCCGTAAAGATTTACAGCCTTGGAAACCCTATGGGGCAGTTCTACTCTGTCCTGTAGGGTTGCTGTGAGTCGGAATCGACTTGTGGACTACGGCTTCTTTAGCTCTAGGGTTGCCAAGCTGAGGATGTTAGCCCAGAGGTGGTAGGGCCATCACTGTCAGTGTGAAAAGAGTCTGCCTGAAAATAAATCCAATGGAGGAAAGCAGAGCTAAGTAGTGGAAACGGCCACCACCTGGGTTAAAATCCTGGATCCAGCTATGCCTGAAGTTCAGATATATCCCAGGACTTGGTAGTTTTAATTCCTTTTTTAAAAAGATAGCCTGTTCTGTTTGCATTTGTCAAAAACTAGAGAATGTATATCTAAGATTCACACATTCACTGTATGTAAATTGTACCTCAAATGAAAACATCTGAAAACACATATTAAACTCTAGTTAACGATTGTCGTTGTGTGCCATCTAGTCGATTCCAACTCATACTGATCCTATAGGATGGAGGAGAACTGCCCCATAGGGTTTCCTAGGCTGTAATCTTTAGGGGGGCCAGGTCTTTTCTCCCACGGAGCTGTTGGTGGATTCAAATCACCAACCTTTCGGTTAGCAGTGGAGCGCTTAACCATTGCACCACCAGAGCTCCCTGAAGCAAGTATAAACCAAAATCAAACCCATTTCCGTCAAGTCGATTCTGATTCATAGCAATCCTATAGGACAGAGTAGAACTGCCCCACAGGGTTTCCAAGGAGCGGCTGATGGATTTGAACTGCTGACCTTTTGGTTAGCAGCCAAGCTCTCAACCACTACACCACCAGGGCTCCAAAGCAAGTATAGTAACATGAGAATAATAGAATCTAGGTCATGGGCATACAGGCATTCATTCTACAATTCTTTCAATTTGCTATATGTTCAAAAGTTTTCTTCATAAAATGTTGGAATAAAGGATGTTTATATGCACTTAAGATACAATAAAAAAGGTTTTTAAAAAAGCACCAAAAATATAAAGCCTGTACGAATAGGGTTTCTGTCACTTGCAGCCAGACAATCCTGAGTGATATGGAGATGATCTTATAATCCAAGGTCCAAATTGCACAACCATAAAGTTTACATTTGTCCAGATCTATGGAGAGGAGCAGGGCCTGACCAATCCCTTCCCCACCTTCTGGTTCCACCCGAACCCCACCCACCCCCTGGAGCCCCGTACCCACGCAGTGACGCCCGTCCCGCGCCCCCTCGTAGCCCTGGTCACAGAGGCACTGGAAGGAACCCGGCAGGTTCTGACACGTGGCGTGGGCCCCGCAGAAGGACCGGTTCCGGCACTCGTCCACATCTGCAACCACCAGACAGTCAGGCCATTGCTGGGCCCTCTCCTACCCCCTCCATGTCACACCCAACACCTGATGGACACCCACCCTGGCATCCGCCCCCTGGTGTGGGCTGGTAGCCAGGGTCGCAGGCCGGCGTGCAGCGGTAGGAGCCGGGGGTGTTCTCGCAGCGCTGGTCCCCACAAATCCTGGGGCCATATTCTTGACACTCGTCCACATCTGCAAGAGAGTGGGCAGGGGGTGGGGAAGCAAGGTCACAGGCCTGGATTCACAGGTTTCCAATCCCACTTCCAGTTCCCATGTTGGAGAAGTCTCTGTGACTTTGATGTTCTAGGAGCATGAGCTTCTAAAGATGGATGAGTGTTGAAAACATTAAGGCCTCATTGCCATTTCTCCAACAGCCCAAACATGGTCCCACTTCAAGGCCTTGCCCTTGATGTTCCCTCTGCCAGGAACACTCTTCCCTCACCTAACCGCACGGTTCCCTCCTTCGTTCCCGTGTCTTGGTCAAGTCCTGCTGGCATCCCCCCCCCACCGCCCCCCACCAATTGTCCTGTCATCTCTGGCCATGTACCTTGCTTTATTTTTCTTCTTAAACCTGACATTACCTTATATTCATATTTTTATGGGTGTGCCCACTGCCACCCCCACTAGAATGCAAACTCTTCAGTGGCAGGGATTTGTGTCTGTCTTGTTCCCTGCTGTATTCCCAGGGTCTAGAACAGTGCCTGACACACAGTAGCTGCCCAACAATTCTCTACCGGGTGGATCTTGGGTTTATTTATTTATTCATTGTCTGCATCCCTCACTAGAATGGCAGCTCCATGACGAGATGGATTGACACAGTGGCTGCAACAATGGTCTAAAGCATAACAAGGATTGGGAGGATGGTGCAGGACCAGGCAGTGTTTGTTCTGTTGTTCACAGGGACGCTCTGAGTTGGAACTGACGCGATGGCACCTAACAACAACATTTCCTGTTGTGCCCCCAGTGCCCGCACACAGGAGATGCGTAAAGAATTCTTGTGGAGTTAATGAATGAAATCCCTTGAAACTAGGCTTCTGGGAGTCAGGCAACCAGAGAGCCAAATGCAGCCCGTCATTTCCTTTCATTTGTTCCACAGAATTTTGACCCACACAAGATCCCAAAACATTTTAGATTACCACCAGACTCCTGTCTTTGTCAATACCCTCCTGCAGCCTGGCGGGAGCCGAGTGGTCATAGAAAAAGGAGTAGAATGGGTCAGGTCTGAAGGGGAAACAAAGGCTGGAGAAGAGGCAGGCCTATGCGTTCTGCAGGGCTGTGAAACCCAAAAGGGCAGAGTCTGGAGAGATGAATGGAACTTGGAAGGGTGGAACTTAGTGGGCAGGGGTCAGCGCTGGGAGGAACCTCGGTGAATTTTGCATTGAGAAAGGAAGTGGCCTAGGGCAACTAGAGCTGGACCTTGAAGGGGCAGCTAGAAGTAGGAAGGCGGGGTGGAGTGGGCCCCTCCAAACTGAATATTAAGAAGAGGGAAGATTGGAAGAGGCGGGGCCTAACAGTGCTTACTGTTGGGAGGTGTCTCACTGGGGTACAGCCTAATAGGTGGACTGGAGGAAGCTGCAGAGGGGGCATGGCCTGCTTCTGGAAGCGAGGTTTGGTCTGCTTCCTGATAGAAGTGTCCCCACACAAACACACACCCCCCCACAAGAAAATACAAGGACTCAACGGTGACTTATTTCCACCAGGGACACAATGAGAAGTGGTAAGGGTCTGTGAGGCAGGGCACCCCTCCTGGTTCCCCACGGGGACAGACCCCGGCAAGCCGTCGTGGGGGGCGGTATTCTCACCGTCACAGGTGCCCTCGGGGCCCGCGTGGTAGCCAGGGTCGCAGTCGCGGACACAGCGGTAGGAACCGGGGGAGTTCTCACAACGCTGAGAACCGCACAGGGCCGGGCCCCGCTCGCGGCACTCGTCCACGTCTGACGGGGGAGGCAGGGAGAGGCAAAGGAGGGAAGATGGAGGAGTCAGAAGGGGAAGGCGGGGAAGGAAGGAGGCAGAGAAGGGGTAATCTGGGAGGCAAAAGGGCCCGGTGGGGCGGAGCCTCTCACCGAGGCAGGAGGCTAGGTCCGGGCTGGCGCGGTGGCCTGGAGGACAGATGCACTCGAAGGAGCCGTCGGTGTTGGTACAGATGCCGCTCTGGCAAAGGTCCTCCTCGCTGCACTCGTCCACGTCTACGGACACCAGAGACTGGGTGGAAACCGCGGCCCCACCTCCTCCTCTGCTTAACAGTCCGGCCACACCCCTCCGCCTCCCTTTCCCCGCCCCTCCTGGCTCCAAGGCCTTTAACTCCCTCCCCTACCTGCCTAGGAGCCCTGGTGGTGCAGTGATTAAGACTTCGGCTGCTAACCAGAAGGTCGGCAGTTCGAATCCACCAGCCGCTCCTTGGAAATTCTATGGGGCAGTCCTACCCTGTCCTATAGGGTCACTAAGAGTGGGAATTGACTGAACAGCCAGGGGTTTGGGTTTCTTTCTTTTTTTTTTCTTTTTTCCTCCCTACCAGCCTTATGCGTCCCTTCCCTGCAAGCCCCGCCCCCTCCAATCGCGGTCCAACAATCTATGCCCCGCCCCTCCGATTAACGCCACGCGGCTCCCATAAGCCCCGCCCCCACGGTGCGTTAAGCCCCACCCCCCAGTCCCACCCACCCCAGGGCCATTCCGTTCTCTTCTCTCAGTCCCGCCTTTTCCTGGTATAAGCCCGCCCTTTCCCGGTTCAGGCTCAGCCCGGTACGGACCAAGGCAGGAGGCTCCGCGGGGTCCAGGCCGGTAGCCGGGGGCACATGTACAGGTATAAGAGCCATCGGTGTTGAGGCACTCGCCGTGGGGGAAGCAATAGTCGCCCTCCAGGCATTCGTTCACATCTAGGGTACGTGAAGGATAAGACTGAGGGTCACTGGACCCGTCCCCCATCCTAAGCCCCGCCCCCAAAAAGGAGCCCTGCCCACAAGCCACACCCCAGATTTCCGGTTTCCAAGCTCCACCCACAGCCCCTTAGTCCAGTGTCTAAGAGCTAGGGCTGCTAACCAAAGGTCAACAGGTCGAATCCATCGGCCTCTCCTTGAACTATAGGCAGTTCTACTCTGTCCCATAGGGTAGCTATGAGTAGGAATCGACTCGATGGCAATGTTTTTTGTTTTGTTTTTTTTGTCCAGGCCCACTCCCAGACTCTCTGACCCCGTCACCACCCTTCCCACCTGCGCAGGGCCCGGGCTGACTAGCCGGGGGCCGGTAGCCTGGCGTGCAGCTGCAGCGGAAGGAGCCTTCGGTGTTAGTGCAGCGGCCGTGGGGGCCACAGGGGGCGCCGGAGCTGCATTCGTCCACATCTGTGGGAGAGGGAGTTTCAGATGGGGTCTGATCTGGAAACACGCCCGATGGATCCTTTTGGGACAAAGGGGCCTGGGGGAGGTGGTGAAAAGTGTCTTGGGAGGGAGATGGGGTGAAAGCATGGCGGAGGTGAGCAGGGGGACCAATACAACAACAACCAAACCCGTTGCCGTGGAGTCCATTCCGACTCATAGCGACCCATGGGGCCGAGTAGAACTGCCCCATAGGGTTTCCAAGGAAACGGCTGGTGGACTCGAACTGCGGACATTTTGGTTAGCAGCTGAGCTTTTAACCACTGTGCCACCAGGGCTCCCTGGATTGGGATAGGGATCAGAAATTACGTAGGTTAGGGGGTCAGGTGTTATAGACCAGGGTCATTGGACCCATTCGGGAATCAGGGTCAGGGTCACAATCAGTGACTGGAATCTGAGACCAGTTAGGGTCAGGAGTTACAGTCAGGGTCCAGAATTCTGCTTCAAGTCAGGGGTCAGAGGTCAGAGATCATGAACCCAATCAGGCACCAGGGAAGGGACTCTGATAAGGGGCAGGGGCAGTGAAAGAGACAGGATCAGGGATTAGAGTCAGGGGTTACAGTTGTGGTCAGAATTATGATCAAAAGTCATGTTAGGGTCAGATGTCACAGTTTTGGGGTGACAGGGCCAGGGGACAGTCAGGGTCAGGAGGGTTATAATTGCTATCAGTGTGGTGGTCAAAAGTTATGAGCAGGAAGGAAAGTATTAGCCCAAGAGACAGAAAGGGCCTCATAAACCAGAGACTGCATCAGCCTGAGACCAGAACTAGATGGTGCCCGGCTACCACCAATGACCGCCCTGACAGGAAACACAACAGAGCGTCCTGGATGGAGCAGGAGAAAGGTGGGGTGCAGAACTCAAATTCTAGTAAAAAGACCAGACTTAATGGTCTGACTGAGACTGGAAGAACCCCAGAAAGCATGGCCCTCGGACTCTCTGTCAGCCCAGAACTAAAACAATTTCCAACGCCAACTCTTCAGACAAAGATTAGACTGGACTCTGGGACATAAAATGATACTCGTGAAGAGTGTGCTTCTTAGCTCAAGTAGATACATGAGACTAAACGGGCAGCTTCTGTCTGGAGGTGAGATGAGAAGGTAGAGAGGGTCAGGAGCCGGTTGAATGGACACGGGAAATCATGGGTGGGAGGGAGAAGTGTGCAGTCACAGTATAGAAAGAGCAGTTAGGGTCACATAACAATGTATGTATAAATTTTGATATAAGAGACTAACCTGAAATGTAAACGTTCACTTAAACTACAACAATAAACGAACCAAAAAAAAGAGTTATAAACAGGGATCACAGGCTCAAATGTCACAGTCCATTTCAGGGTTCGTGGATCACAGAGTTAGGAGTCACATTCAGGGGTAGGAGATCGAGGTTGAGGTCAGGAGGTTATGAGCCATGTCAGGATTGTGGTCCGGGTCAGGGGTGCTTTCAGGGCGAGGGGTCATGATGCAGGCCCAAGGGCATGGCCACAGCCTGGGGTCTGGTCTCACCAATGCAGCGGCCACGGTGCAGGTGCTGGCCGACAGGACAGGCCCTGCACTGGAAGGAGCCAGGTGAGTTGACACACTCCTGTCCAGGGCAAGCCAGGTGGTTCTCACACTCGTCCACATCTGGGGGGGACAGAGGGGAGAGTGGCCTTGAAGGAGCAGCCCCGCGCCCCCCTCACCCATCACCACTCCTCCCTCCCTCCCAGGTCTCACCCTCGCACTCGGAGCCAGCTGCGTTGGGTTGGAAGCCTGTGGGACAGACGCACTGGAAGCTGCCTTCTGTGTTCTCACACCGGCCGTAGGCACAGGGCGGGGGACTATGGGCACACTCATCCACATCTGGGACAGAGGGGGCCAATGGGGCTGAGGACGGGGCCTGGACCCATCCCCATTACCATCACCACCCACCCCAACATTCCAGTCTTGAACCAGCCTCCTGGACTTTGCCCAAGCTGCTCCCTCCGTCTGGGAGGATAACCGCCTCCTTCATCTTCCCAGTTAATGGTCTCTCCAATGCCAGCGTAAGGCTAAAGTACCACCTCCTCCATGTCGCCTTCCCTGCCTCATAGTTGTCCCCTCCTTAGGGTGCCCACAAGCACAAGAGTCTCATCCAAAAACGGAGGAGGAATGGGGAGCACGCTCACACTTTGGAGAAAGGGGAAGACTCTGGAGTCAGACCTTTCCTACCCTTCTCAGTATCCCATCACTCTGCCTCTGTCCCCCAACACTGAGCCCCCTCACTCTGCCTCCCTGCCCCCCAACAGTGTCCCTCTCCAGTCCCCACAGCAAACAGTGGTGGAGCTGTGTTGGACTCAGCACCCTCACCTTGGCAGGGGGCCCCCGGCCCTCGGGAGTGGAAGCCGGCGGGGCAGGCACAGTGAAAGGAGCCAGCTGTGTTGTCGCAGCGGCCTGGCCCACAGGGTGGTGGCTCCTGGGCACACTCATCCACATCTTCCTCACACACCGAGCCCCGGAAGCCAGCCGGGCAAACACAGCGGAAAGAGCCGGGCAGGTTCTCACAGACGCCTCGACCACATAGGCCCGGGTTCTGGGTGCACTCGTCCACATCTGCTCAGTGAAAGGGCCCGGGGTCACACCTCCTTTAAGGCCCCCATGTCCCACCTGCCTCTCTGACCTCCATGACTTTGACTTTCCATACATCATCGTTCTGTCCCCGCCTCCCATCTCCATCATTACGCCTCCCTGTCCATCAGCCAGCATTCCGACTCTGCGCCCTCTACCCCTCTGCCTTTTCAATCCCCATTAAGCTACCTGTCCCACTCTTGGGACGCCTCTCTGGTCCTCCTCAGTGGATCTCACTCTCCTCAGGTCTCCATAACTCGGCCTCCCTTTGCCTGTTACTCAGCATCTCCATCCCCCACCCCTCTGCTTTTCCATCCCTTGTGACTCAGCCTGTCTTGTCTTCCACTACTTGGGCCCCTCCACCCACGTGGCACTATCTCTACAGCCCCCATCAGTCTACATGTCTGGCTGTCAGAACTCGGCCTCTATCTCCCAACAGTCAACCTCCCTGTGTCCCGCTGCTCAGTCTCTCCATCCGCCATCACTGCCCCTCTACCCTTCTTCCCACACCCCCTTCCTCTCTGTCCCCTGACTCCCTCACCCTGGCAGCTGGCTCCGTGAGGTGCGGCCTGGTACCCGGCGGGGCACACGCACAGGAAGCTGCCTGGTGTGTTCTCACAGCGCCCGCGGTCACACGGCGGCGGCACGCGGTGGCACTCGTCCACGTCTGCGGGCACAAACCAGGTAGCTAGGGCTGGGCAGACACTCCCCAGAGAGATGATGAGAGGCCAGGGGTGGGGCCAAGCTTGGGCCCCGGCCAGAGGCGGTAAGGCAGGCTCGGATGGGGAGGTTTAAGTCGAAAGCAGGGCTTGAACCGGGAGGGCACAATAAGGGCTGCAGACCAGGCCAGGTCAGGGGCGGAGAGGGGGGAAATGGGACAGGGCAGGGTCCTTGCAGGGCAAGGGCAGGAAGGGCAGGTTTGCGGACTGGGCAAAGGGAAGGGAGGAGCGGGGCTAACGAAGAGGCGCTCTTGGAACGGAGCATCGGTGTGACAGGGGTGGAATCAGGGGTCCTGGTCAGGAGAGCGGTTGCAGCAGTTGTAGGGTGGGGGCGGGGCAAGGGGGAAGCCCGGAATCTAGTCTGGGACAAGGGAGGGGCGGGGCCAAGGGAGAGGCGGAGCCGGGACGTGATCGCCGACGGAGGCGGGTCTGTAGTGGGGCTGGGATCCTGTCCCGACCCAAAGGCCTGTCTGGGCGTGGCGCAGTGATGGGGCCCAAGGGAGCACCGGAGCTGGTCTGGGAGGGCGGAAGCTCGTCGGGAGCGAAAGCGGGAGCTGGACCCTCGCAGGGGTGGGTCCTAGAACCGGATGGAGCGGGCTTCTCACCCAGGCACTCGGCCGCCCGCGGGCCTGCTCGGAAACCTGGGCCGCACACGCAGCGGAAGCTGCCCGGAGTGTTCTCGCAGCGCCCGGGCGCACAGGGCGTGGGGATGCGGCGACATTCGTCCACGTCTGAGGGCACAGAGGGGGCTGGTCAAGGGGTGTCTGGGCAGAGTCCCTTGCCCTGTCTCCGTCCACCCCGTCCGCCCGGCTCACCGATGCAGTGGGTGCCCTGGGGATTGAGCCGGAAACCGGAGTCGCACACGCAAGTGTAGCCACTGAGGCGAGGGATGCAGCGTCCAGGGCCGCAGACTTGGGGGTTGCGCTGACACATGGAGGGACCTAGGGGGTCCAGTCATCCAGGGTTCCTCCATCTCTGACTCCTCTGTCCCTTTCATCCCAGTACGATCCCTTCAGATCCCCTGCCTACAACACCTTCATCAATGCCCCTCTGCAAGCCCAGCCTTCCATCTCTGACCCCCTCTCCTTTGTCATGGAAAGTTCTCATCGGAATGCTGCTCTAAGGTGTCTTCCATCTTTGAATACATTGCTTTCCAACCTCTGGCTGAGATAACTTCTTAGTGTCTTCCGTGTATAACAGTAACTGAGCGCTTACTGTGTGCCAGACACTTCAGAGACATCTCATTGAATCCTTACAGTGAACTCCATTTTACAGATGAGAAAACAGGTTCAGGCTTGCCCAGCGGACACAGGACTTCAACCCAGGTCTGTCTGACCCTAGCTTCTGATCTAACCACCACCCAAACCTTCAAACCCCTATCTCTTCCCACCCATTCCTTAACTCCTCCGCCTGTGGCATCCCTATTTGTTCTTTCCTTTTTCCCCAGCACCCCCTCCCTATAATACCCCCATCAACGCCCTTGTCCCTCCACTGCACCTGATTCAGAGATCTCAGGACCAGACCAGGCAGGGATGCTGGGCCGGGGACGCTCAGGGCCAGGCCGGGGCTCAGGTCTGTGTTCAGGTCGGGGTTCAGGTCTGTGTTCAGGTCTGTATTCAGGTCTGTGTTCAGGTCTATGTTCAGGTCGGGGTTCAGGTCTGTGTTCAGGTCGGGGTTCAGGTCTGTGTTCAGGTCTGGGCTCAGGTCTGTGTTCAGGTCGGGGTTCAGGTCTGGGCTCAGGTCTGTGTTCAGGTCGGGGCTCTGGGCGATGGGTGGGCAGAAAGCCTGGTAAGAGAGGGGTATCAGCGAGTGAGGACTTGGGTTCAAGTGTCCTCACTCCTCTCTCCTCCTTTCTTTATGAGGAAATAGCACGCCCTCCTGGAAGAGTCAGCTCACCTGCTGGTGGACGAGAGGTGGCAGGTGGGGGGCGAGGCCGGCTGATGGATACGCGGGGTGGCTCCTGGCCCAGGGGTCTAGTGTTGTAGCGGAGGTCAGAGGCTGAGTAGTGGTAACCAGGGCCAGCCGGGCAGATCTCCCGAAACCCCTCTGGGAACAAGAAAGAGAGGGAGAGGGGCAGAGAGAGGTGGAGAGAACAGGAGGGAATGAGAGCTGGGAGGGGCATCTGGGGCAGGGCCTCAGCTGGTGGCTGGGGGCAGGGCTTGGCCTGAGAGTGTGTCTGGGGTTTGGGTTGGATGCTGGCATGGAGTGGGCCCCTGGTCAAAGAAAGGGATGTCCCACAGACTAAGGGTGGAACCAAGGAATTTTTTCCCCTTTGGGGATGGCAGCAGGGACAGGAGTTGAGGGTGAGGTCTGGTTTGGGGTCTATCAGGGACTGAATAGTAGGTCAGGAAACGGTTCCTTTATGGGGTTTAGTTTTAGGCAGAAGCTAGATTGCCAGAGAGGTGTCTCAGAGATGGGCCGCGTCTGGGTGGGGTCTGGGGCGAAGCCTAGGCTGGCCTTGGCAGCGCTCCTGGTGAACAGCCTAACTTCGGCATGGTGTCTCAAGGATGGGTTTGGCCAAGAGTGGGGGAGGTGCCGGGGAGGAATCCAGTCTGAAGATAGCTCTTCTCTGAGGTTGGGGGTAAGACCGAGGACAGTGGGTAGCATGCCTCTGGGTCTAGGGCGGGGCCTACACTGAGCGCTGTGTGTGTCACATCTGGGACGGGCTGGGGCAGGAGGCGATCACCTGAGCCGAAGGGTGGGCAGAGCTGGCAGCCCCGGCCCCAGGCCTTGCCTACTCGGCTACAGCAGCAGATCTGTTTGGTGATGTTGCGCAGGATGGGCAGCGAGCAGCCGCCCTCGCGAAGCACGCGGAAGCAGGGCCCCTTTGCCTCCGAGATCACGTGTTGAGCTGGGGAATAGGAAGGGGAAGGAAACTAGTTAGGGCGGGGCTGGGGTTTGGCGGAGCAGAGGGATCTCACAGGCAGGGGAATGGTCCCCAGGGAGGGTTTGGTGGCTGTGAAGGACGTTTGGGAGGGGTCCAAGGCAGTCTGACGGGAGGCCAAAAGGGGTCTGGAGGTCTGAGAACTGTTTGGGGGCATGAAGGGGGCTGAAGAAGAGCTGAGGGGATCTGAGGACCTGGGGGGGGGGATGGGGGATGGTCTTAGAGGGATATGAGGATCTGAAGATGGCTTGGTGGTCCAAGGGGGAGTGGGGCGACTTGGGAGCCGGAGGGGAGCTGAAGATAGTCTGTGGATGTGAAGGGGTCCGTGGATCCAAAACGTTTTGAGGAGTTCTTAAGAGGATCTGAGGGTGTTCTGAGCCGAGTGTGAAGAAGGTCCAGGGAGTCTGAGAGTATATGAGGGTCTGAGAAGTTCTGCAGGGCATCTAAGAGTGAAGGGGGCTCTGAGGGAAGCAGAGGCCCTGGATATGGTCTGGGGGCATGTGATGCGGCCTCAGCCTCCTCCTGGAAGCTCACAGATGCAGCTGCTGCGGGACGAGTCGAGCAGGAAGCCATCGGGGCACACACATGTGTACCCGCCGTGCGTGTTCGCGCACTCCCCGTGCTGACAGCGCCCTGGGGTCGCGCACTCGTCCACATCTGATAGGAATGGGGAGGTCACAGTGAGGTCCCGGACCGCAGCCCCTCCCCCAGCAAAGCCCAGCCCCTGCCTCACTCCTACCCGACCATCTCACCTTCACAGGACCCATTAACCCTTTCAAAGCCTGCTGGACACGGTCTATCTGGGGCGCCCACTTGGTTGGAGTTCCCTGTGGAGAGACGAGGAGGATGGGCCTGGGACGGGTGGAAGGGAGTGGGCGAGCTGAAGGTGGGGAGCCTGAAAGGTGCTGGGTGTGGCTTGAATGCACGGTCAGCCCTAGGTTGGATGTCTGACAGGGTAAACTGGGAGGTTCCAGAAGTGCATGAGTGCAGCCAAAGCACAAAGATGGGGTGAGAACCGAGTGGCCAAAGTCAGAAGCTGGGGATGGGTCGTCCCAGAACGTTATGGACGAGTCTACACTGGAAATCCTTGCCACAACGGAGTGGGCGTGCCTAGAACTTGTGCACGTGGTTTAAATATAAACAGGGTAAGCGGGGCTCAAACCCCTCCCCAGCTCCGCGATCCTCGGATACGTCCTGGGGCTTACCCAGGTGCTCCGAGCACGGCAGACAGTCGTGAACTCCCCAGGCCAAGCCGGCCCCTCGGCAGCAAACTTCTTGCGTCCGAAGCCCGGGCAGCGGGGACGCACACTGTAGGGAAGTGTTGGGTGAGCGCGCCCCCGCGCGTTGGCACGCTCCAGGCCCCTCCCCACTGGCCTCTGCTCACTTCGCTTCCTCGCAGCTCCCGAAAGCAGTAACCGTAGCCGGAGGAATCCGAGTAGCCGTCCTCGCGGGGCGCGCTCTGTCCCAGCACGGTGTAAGGTGCCGCCGCCTCCGCCCGCGCCGCCGCCTCCGCCCGCGCCACGGCCTCGGCGTCCGTCTCCGCCCAAGGCCCAGACACACGCTCCACCTGGTGCACCACCACGGACGCCTCCTGCGGATGCTCCACGTGGACGCTCACCATAGACGCCACGCCTGGCAGGAGGCAGGGCCGGGCAAGACTAGGAGTGGGGGCAGGGGCGAGCTAGGGACAGGTACTTAGGGGCGGGAAAAATGGGGGTCAGAGGAAAGGTGAGGTGGTGGGCAGAGGGTCGGACGGGACTCCGGCGGCACTCTTCCTCACCGTGTTCGTCATCGCGATGGTTGACCAGTGGCATCGTGTACACGGAGCGGGTGAGGCCTGGCATGGCCGGGGCCGGAGGTCGGGCGCCCGATGAGTACAGCTGGCAGAACTTGCCCGCGAAGTCCGGGGGACAGAGGCAGCGGTCCGGCTTTACGCACACACCGCCGTTGTGACAGATCAAGGGACATAGGACTAGGGGGAAAGCGGGAACACTCAAGGTCGGCACCCCTCCCTAGGCACCTCTGGGGCCAGGGCACTCAAGCTAGCTCAGTCCTCTGTGTTATAACTACGCCTTCAGGCTTATTAACCCACTGCCGCAGTGTCGATTCCGACTCATAGCGACCTTAGGACAGAGTAGACTGTCTCATAGGGTTTCCAAGGCTGTAAATCTTTTACAGAAGCAGACTGCCACCTTCTTCTCCCGCAGAGTGGCTGGTAGATTCGAACCTCCAACCTCTCGGTTAGCAGCCGAGCTGCACCACCAGGGCTACTAGGCTTAGTAGGTTCTAAAACGCTGTTCCCTAGCTGTCTTGTGGCCTTGCCCCAACTCAGGCCACCTGTATGGGCCCAGCCCAGTCGTTCAGCTCTGTGGTATAGCCCCGCCCATTGGGTGGGCTCGCCACGCCCTAAGGTGCATTTTCTTACTTTCCTGTCGCCATGGCCCCTCGCTCTAGTCCAGCAGATCCCACTTTCTGAGTCCACGGCGTCCCAGACCTGCCTAGACAGGTTCAGTCCCGCCCACTATGTTTCGTTAGCGTTTTAGCCCCGCCCACCCCGTAGTCTGGTTGGGTGCTATGCTGTTCCAGCCTCGCCCACCCAGCGAGGGCCCCTTCCATTGACTCAAACCACATTTTAGCCACTCCCAGGCACGACCGCCCTTCCCGACTCTGTCTCCAGAGCATTCTAGGCCCGCCCACACCCCTTGTGGCCGGGTCCACAGTGTCCCAGCTCCGCCCACTGGCTGTGAGCCCCCTTCTAGCTCCGCCCACTCTACCTTCAACTACCCGCGTGATCCGAAACCCCGCCTATCAGGGCGTCTAACCTGACAGCCTTTAGCCCCGCCCACCTCCCTTTTCTCCCTCAGATTTGTCCAGGCTCGCTCACACCGCCTCCCGGCTCTCCAGGCGTCCTAGGTCGGCCCACGGGGCTTTGTCCCCGCCCACCTTCCCTTCGGCCGGGGCTTCGGAGTTCTAGCCCCGCCTTCTCGCCTTCGGTAGCTCCGGGGCGTGGCCCCGAGCGGGAACGCGTCTCCTCTCCCCTCAGCGCGCCCTCGCTGGGCCCCAGGCCACCTCCGGGCGGGGCCCTGCCAGCTGTCCGGCGGGGTAAACAAAGAGAGGGGTGCGGCGGGGGCAGGGCGGTGGCTCCGCATTCCGGACCCTTGGGGAGCCCCGGGTCCACTGAGCCAAAGAGGTCGTACGTGTTCTGCGAGAGCACCCCCTCCCTCTCTCCCCTGGGGCGGCTGGAGAACAGCTGGAGACAGCTGTGCGGAGGGGAGGGAGGGGACAGGAGGCCGGGGCGGTCCAGGGAGGCGTGTGTGAGACTGTGAGCCACCCGTGGAGGAGAGGGGAAAGCCCCCTCAGTTTAGAAGGGGAAGGGGGCTAGAGACCTGGAAGGAGATCAGCTAGAGGGCAGCAGTCTGCGTTTCGAAGATGGCTCGAGGTTTCTGGAATGGAGAGGGAGCCTAGCCTGGAGGAAACTGAGGTGACCTGACAAGAGAAAGGTCCTCCTAATTCTTTTGGGGCAAGTTACCTAGAAAACAGAACTCTGGTGCCTTCTAGGAGGTGGCCAGTTTGAGGGCGCTGAGAACAGGGCTTAGATGAATAAATCGGACTCCTGGGGTTCCCCAGCATATGAGTGGCTGGGAAGACCCGAGGATATTGAGAAGCCCCCCTTCCTCAGCTAAGGGATTAGTCTTTTAAGGACTGCCTGTTGGGAGCACTGTGGAGTCCTTTAGGGAGACTCAGCTATAGAGACCAACTCTGGGGTCCTCCGAAGAGAGAGGTTCAGAGGTTCCTTGGGAAGGCCATCAGCTGCAAGAGCAAAACTTGGAGACACAGGAAATTTGGAATCTACAGTGAGACTCTGGAGCCCTGGTTGCACAGTGGTTAAGAGCTCGGCTGCTAAAGGGTCAGCAGTTCGAATCCACTAGCTTCTCCTCAGAAACCCTGTGGGGCAGTTCTACTCTGCCCTATAGGGTTGCTATGAATTGGAATCCACTTGATGGCAACATTTTTTGTTTGTTTGTTTTTGATGAGACTCTGGTAGGCTCAGCTGGAAATAGAAGAAAATGACAGCCTTTTGTAGAAGAGAATTCAGTGGAGAGGGAAGTCACCACTCTATCGGGCTCGTAATTGTAATCTGGGGTTTCTTCTGAAAGTGGGGAGGGATGGACAGGATTACAGAGTTCTGTAGTGAGGGGCCCAGTTTAGGGGGGGGTTACCTAGGAAGGATGGAAGGGAACTTCGCTGGAGGAGCTGGTCTCTGGAGTCTGTTGACAGGGGTGGGGAAAGGACTTGGGGATCTGCAGGCAAGGACTCTGGAGTCCCCCAGCTGAGGGAGTCAGGCCAGAACTCCAGGGTGCTCTAATGGGGATCCTTAGTTAAGTGGTAGGATCTAGGAGAGGCTGAACCACAATCAAGATTTCAGATGGGAAGGGGTCTCTGCTGGGGGTCATGGGAACCCAACCAGGCTTTGGGGTACATTTCCCAGCCTCCAAGGCATTTCTCCACCTACTCTTGGCCTGAATGCAGGTCCCCAGCCCAGCTGCCTGAGGGTGCCCACACCCTGGGTGGGCCGCTAGACTGGCATGGCCTACTCCAGTCCCCAAGCCCCTGGAGGAGTGGGGAGCTGAGGACATCGGGGTCCTGCCAAGGACAGTCCCCCTTCACATTTTCCTCCTTGCGCCTCCAGAGGCCTGGTACCCGCCTGGGCACGGTGTCTGGCACCGGCCGGGGCGAGTTTGGGCTGGGTCGGAGGGAGTGGAGGAAGGAGGGAGGAAGGGGAGGAGAGAGGGAGTGGCAGCGGGCGGGGGCTCAGGCGGGAGATGAGCTCACGCCGGCCGGGCTGGGCTGGCTGGGGGCCAGGCTGGGCGAGTTTTCGGCGCCAGGGGCCCACACTCCCCACTCCAAAGGGCCTAAGGGTGGGGGCAGGGCGGCCCCGACCCTGAAGGGCCCGCCCACCCCGAGGGTCACCAGGTGACTCGCCTTCCCCACCTCACCTGAACCCCAGAGGCTCCCCACCTCCCGGGGTGTCTGGTGCTTGCCCTTCTCCCATCCCCTCTGTCCCCAGGGGGCGCCCCTTCCCCTAGGCCTATCTGGTTTTCTCCGGCATGTGGGACCTCTTGCAATTCAGGGTCCTGCAGAGAACCCCTTTCTGGGCCCTTTTCCTCTCAGCTCTGGGGATCAACTTCCCTCATCCCAGTCCCCCGCCTCACAGGCACTCCCATCCCGACTCCTCTAGTTCCTCTCACTCAAAGATGCAGAAACTGAGACACCCTTCCCACGCGGCCCTAAAAACTCCCTCAGTCCCCAGGGACCTCTTACTTTCAGAATTCAGGGCCCCGTCCCAAATGCTCCCAAGCCCCTCAATTCTCGTATCCCCACCTTGACTCAGAGGCGTGAAAGCTGGCCCCATTCCCCTCACGTGAGACGCCGCAGGTCCCTGAGAGCCCTCATTGCTTGCAAAGGTCGGGACCATCAGGACCAACTTCCACAAGCCAAGAATTTGCGGCTTCCTTCGCCAAGTACCCTAGGAATTCCTCAGCACTCCTGGACATGGAATCTGGGCTCCTTCTCCCGAGGGAACTGTCTGCCCATCCCCAGAGATCCTCCTCCCTCGGGACTCCCTCCCTCGGGACCACCTCCCCGCACTCACAGGCGCGGAAGCCGGTTCCCCCCGGGGCCGCCCCGCCGGGTGCGCCGCTGTCCACGCTGGTGGCGTTGCGGAGCGCGCAGGTCGGGGTACAGCGGGGGCCGGTGGGCCCATGGACGCAGCGCAGGCTGCATACGGCCGGGGTGAAGCGCACGCGGAGGCGCTCTCGCTGCCGGCCCAGCCCGGGCTTCGGCCAGAGCAGCGCCAGCAGCGCCAATAGCGACACCCAGAGCAGCCGCGCGCCTCCC